CCAGTATCTGGGGGAACGTTTGTTCACCAGAGCGCCCCAAGGGATGACGAGGTCGAATGGTCACAAACTACTTCAAGATCGTTTCAGGCTGGACATAAGGAAGAACTTCTTTACTGTCCGAGCCCCCAAGGTCTGGAACAGCCTGCCACTGGAGGTGGTTCAAGCATCTTCATTGAACACCTTCAAGATGAAACTGGATGCTTATCTTGCTGGGATCCTATGACCCCAGCTGACTTCCTGCCCTTTGGGCGGGGGGCTGGACTCGATGATCTTCCATGGTCCCTTCCAGCCTTGATGTCTATGAAATCTATGAAATCTATGAAAGATCGAACGGTCACAAACTCCACCGTGACCGATTCAGGCTGGACATAAGGAAGAACTTCTTTATTGTCCGAGCCCCCAAGGTTTGGAAAAGACTGCCACTGGAGGCGGTTCAAGTACCCACTTTGAACGCCTTCCAGACACATTTGGATGCTTATCCTGCTGGAATCTTATGATCCCTGCTGACTTCCTGCCCCTTGGGCAGGGGGCTGGAATCGATGATCCTCCGGGTTCCTTCCAGCCCAAATGTCTATGAAATCTATGAAAAGATAACACTCTAAGAAATCCTTGCCTCTCGCAAAAATATAACCAACATTTAACTTCTTTGCTCAGGTCAGATAAGATGGTTTAGTGCCCTCTTAATAGTTAATTTCAATAGAATTAAAAAAGAAAGTCTAATGTGCTCAAATGTAATCTGTGTACACAGAAATGTAAAGCTAACTCAAGTTAGACCTTCTTGTTAAGTGGAATATAGTCTCTCTTATGATGTGTGAATAATACTTTCCCATTGATGAACATACCCAAAGAGGAAGTGCACCAATTTCCTTCATTTCAGTGCACCGAAGAAAAATTATTAAAATATACCAATTATTATTCAAATATATATAGACCAATTAGTGTTATTGTTTGACTTTCAGTCAAGCTTTTTTCATTAGGCTAGATTGTTAACTGATGCAAATCAATAGAGATCCACGGAAGTGGACAGAGCTATGCTGATTTACATCAGCTGAGGATCTGGACAAGTCTCTACAGGCAAAATAGGTTGTGGGGGGACACACCTAGTTTATGAATCTTTGGCAGGCAGGAAGGTGGGTGGGTGGGGAGGGAGGCAGGGGGGTGCTTAAGGCGTGAGATGCATGCTAAGCACCTCAGGTCTGTCAAGACTTAAGTAACTCTGCACATGTCCAGGAACAGAACTTTATGGGATTTTATTGGCAGATACTCAGGCACCAAGGGAATTTAAGCCTTCCACAGTCCTAGTCTTATGCTTTAGCAAAATTATTTCTCCGCTTGTTTGTCCTTCTTCTCACTAAGATGAGAGAGTTGGTTGAATTTTTTTTAAAAGATAATTTTTCCAAGTTTGCCCTTTAATCTTTAGTTTATAGTGTTATCTTGTTTCTCAAATTCAAAAGTAAAGATCTTTAAAAAAAATCCACTTATAGTTTTTAGCTTATCAGAGGTTTTACTGGTTTTTTCCCACCCCATCTCTGTTTATCTTTCCATGTATCCAGTATGAAGTGGGGGGAAGCCAACTTTCCATCCTTTTTTTACTATTTTATGATGATAAACTTAGGGGAAAAACTGTAAGGAAGTTTTTTAAAAGCTAATTTTTGAGATAGTATTTCAAAATTAAGCACACTGTATTTACCTCAGTTATAAAATTCCCATGGGAAAGCAAAACATTATGATCGCAAACTTTCCAAAGTGATTTTTTTGGTACTCCAACCAGCTCTACTGCCCCTCATCATCATTTTTTAGCAATCAACAGTAAGTAAAAATATACCTGCATTCTCTGGACTCAGAAAGAAATGGGAGTGAACTGCATCTTCTATTTTTAGTTGCCCATTCATTACCTCTCTCACAGCATTCTTCTATTGTAAGTTCTGTAGAATGAAAAGGAGAAACAAATTAGTACACTTAATAAATCCTTACTAAACAGTTTCTTGTCTACCCGTAATTAGTGGAAGTCAGAACAAAACTGAGGGAGCTGACCGTCCCTTTCTTTTTTTTTTCTTGTTTTTACAGAAATACCTCTTCTAACAACTTAAATATTGTTAATGAACTGACAAGTACCATAGGTCTGTTTCAGATTTTATGAGCAAAAAGTTCAGTGCACAGCAGGTGTGTTAGAACTTGGAACAAAACAGGAGTCCCATTTTCTTATTACAGTAATTATTGTTCAAATCTAGTCACTGAATAGTTCCCCCTGCAGCATGCCCCAGGCATAAACAGAGACTATGGAGGAAGAAGATCTGTAGCTTTTTAATGCAAAGTTGTTCTTTGTATTATACGTTTTCAAGTTACTGAGGTTTTCTTTAACGTTTAAAAATAATAAGCTTTTTTCTCCTGTAAATCTTAAAGCATTTCCTAAAGGAAGACACATATTCCCATTTTCTTGATGGAGAAGCTGAGGCATTGAAAGATTAAGTGACTAGTGAAGTGTTCTGTATTCCAAAACATAGAATTTGATCAAGGTTCCAGCCCAGTGCTCCGCATACATAACTGACCAGTGCAACAACCATTTTTTGTTTCTCTTGTATTGCACCAAACACATCAATAGTTCTATGTCTTAAGAACAATGAGTGAAATTTCAGCACTGCTGACATCAGTGGTAAAACTTCCATTGACTTTTATCTTTCAGGTATTGGGTTAAACCCAATACCTGAAAGATAAAAGTGGGTCACACAGTGCTTCAAAAGAGCATTTGAATCTGGCAAAGATCTGCTTGTGGGGAGTTTGGACCCTTGCTTGGGAGTGAGTGACCTATATGTATGACATCTAATGCTCTCTTCCTGCTAACAATGAATGCATGAGGCTTTATAAAATGTGTTGTGAATAACCAGGTTTTAGTGCTATTATCTGTAATTTATCTTACTTGTGTCAAAAAATGATACACTTAGCTAAAGAAAAAGGCTGGCCCTAAGTTATATAAAGGTTGCAGCCAAGTTCCTTCACAGAAGGACAGTTCTTGGCCCTGGGTCACTAATTCTCTTCCCCTGGCTCTGGCAATACACCCCTATTCCAGTCAAACAACTTGAGAAGTTGAGAACAAGCCCAGTTAAACAACCTAAAAAGTAGGAGTATGCCAGATAGAGGGAATTTACAAAGCTTGTTGAGGGAGAACTGCGGTCTAGGCAACAGTTGTTTGTGACACTATTCATATCCTCCAAAGATCCTGCCAAAATCCTCTTGAGAATACAGGAAAGTTAAAAAACAAGCAAGAAAAACCAGACCCTCCCACCCTTGAAACCATTCTTCTGAAACATAAACTAACAGTAAAAGAGGGGGGGGAAAGAGATATTTTCTGTGGTTTGGGGGGCCAGCGTTCCAAATAAATATTTACAGATTCAAAATGCCAGAAAATTGATTTAGATTTCTGGGGTAAAATTCTGGCCCCATGGGAGTCTCTGACATTTTTGTATCATTTGTATTTTGGCATGAAGAGGAGTTACTGACTGCTTAGAAAGGTAGGGAGAAATGTGAGTACTGTTACACGTTCACAGAATATTACGCAGGCAGAACAAGAGGGAATGGGCAATGCTTCTTTCCCAGCAATGGTCTCAGCCTCACTGTAGAGATGATATAGACTAGGGGTGCTCAGCCTTCAGCTTATAGGTCAGATCTGGCCCATGACACCATGTCATCTGGCCTGTGGGGCTCCCCAGGGGTCTGGAAATTTGGTGGCAGGGAAGCAGTGGCACTACCCCCCTGCTGCTAAATCTCAGTGCACAGGGCCAGACAGGCCCTGTGGCCAGACAGGGATGGCCCCAGGTCCCAATCTCAGTGTGAGAGCTGGATGGGTGGTGCCAGACCCCAAGGCCCAATCCTGGTGCGCAGGATAGGGAGGGGATGGTGCCAGGCCCCAGGGCCCTGTCTGGCTCACAGACACCCCAATCTGACCCTCAGATGGGCTCTGGGCCACTTATCTGGCTCTTGCGATCAAAAGGTTGCACCGCTAGTATAGACATTTCCTAAGCATTATTTATTTTTAAACTAGTCCTATCCCGGAAACACAGCAAAACTCCAGAGCAAATAGGGTTTTGTCACCCAAAGAGTATGGTTTCAGAAGAAAGACTGGTAAGATACCTGACTGATCTGAACAGAATTCTGAGACCATGTCTTCTCATGAAACACCAAGGTTGGTAGCCTAGCTGTAAGGGCTTGAATGCTGTCTGCACAGAGAATCAGCAGGATAGAAAGACTAAGGAAAGCTTTCTTAATGTGAAGGTGGAAGAGCAGTTCCATGAGCTGCAAAAGAATGACACTAAAGGTCCATCTGAGATTTAGATCTCTAGTGACTAAATTAGAGCATCACTGACCATGTCTAAATTAGAGCATGATATGCAGTTATACCCACCAGAAGAACTTTCAGAAAGATGAATGTCACTATGCAATATAGAATCTTTGAGGCCAGGGCCTCTATCAGATTCATGCTGTTTTGAACTACAGTGGAAAGAAATCTTTTACGTTTTTCATAGTAAGTCTGCACCCTCTGTTACTGCTGTTCATCTAACCTGAAGCTAGATAGTCAAGTGCAGTGGTTGCAGGTCTGGACACATATGCTCATCAGGTCTTGATATTGAGACGTCACATTTAAATAGAAGGAAAGGTTTATGGCATAAGGTCTTATAGCTGAAATTTCTTAGTAGGAGACTACATGAAGACAGTGGCCCTGTTGCAGCAGATCTGTTGCATCAGATCTTGGGGAATCGGAGAGAGCTCCCTTTTTGCCTACACAAGAGATCCAGCCATTAATCAAGTTGTCATTAAAGTTTGCATAGGGCAATGACCAAGCTGCTCACATGATGATTACATAGGAATTATAGTGTCTTTGGTCAGTATTGTAATGGTCACAGATGAAAATTGGCAGGGAGGGTCACATACATGCATACAGGGATATGTTCTAGTAATCTCAGGTACACATAGATGGTTGTGGTTGATTTTTGTCTTTAATGTCATCTAAAAGCAACTAAAGAGCCTTGAATAGGCCATACAGAAGACAGGGCACAATTCATGGTCAGCCTGAACCTATGAATTCTACTACCTGATATGGCAAGAAGGGATTGTTTTTTGTAATTCTTTAGGAGCCCTAATTGGGAGAAGAGGATAGGACTGCCTTGGTCTCCCAGGAATTGCCCTTAATCAGCCTGTCACCCAGGTGTAGGGACACGTGTGTTCAGTTTCTGAAAGATTCTACTGTTACTGTCTTGGAGCTGTAGAGACTAGCGGGGGGCATGAGGAGTCAGCCCATCTGCCCCCCCTGCACGATCTAGCACGGGGGATGGGAAGTCAGCCCAGCTGGACTGACTTCCCATCCCCAGTGCTATGGTCGAAACGTTTCAACTAGCCTCATTTTGTTTCAAGGCTGTTTCGAGGCCCTTTGTTTCGTTTCGATTTTGCTGTTTCGACCTTGAAATGAGTCAAAACAGTGTCGAAATGAAACGGCCAGTGAAATTTCGCACTGCCCTAGTAGCCAAGGCTGAGGAAAGCTGCCATCTTTTGCTGCAGGTCAGCCAATTTTGGTATGGAACTCTAGCTAGCAAGATAGTGTTCAGTGTAATTGCTCCTGTTAAGAAGTATGGTATATTTTATAGGCGGAGGTGCTTAAAATTCAGAGAGAGTGTACCGTTGTGAGGGTCCTTTATTGAGTGCAAGGTGCTCTCAGTCCTTTTTGTAGACCAGGGATCTGTCAAAGGAAAAGCACTTGATAGTGGCTCTGAACAGATCTGGAAGCCCAGACATCTTCTCATTAAAATCACCACCTGATGATTGTGTCCAATGCTGTCAGGGTATGATCAGGATATAGGCAGTTGGGGCTTGATGGTAGAGGGTCAAACCAGAGAATGAGGAGCAGGCATCCAGACTGGAGTTATAAGCCAAGAGGATCAGAAGCAAGAGGCTGGAATCCAGACTGGATTCATGAGCAAGGGAGCAAGGAGCCAGCTGTCAGGAAAGAGGGGTCTGGACTTGAGCATAGCTAAATACAGAAGAACTACCCAGGGAGACATTTGTGCTGTTGAAAAGCCTTCTGAGCACTGAAAGGGCTGCTGCTTATATGAAACTAACTGAGGCCAGCTGGAAATAGTTAGGCTATTGGCAGCCAGGCCTACACAGGTAGGAAGAGTCAGTTGGGGGATAGTCAGACTGTTGGCTGCTCTGACTCTTGACAGATGCATCCACTCCCCACCATATTATGACTCTGAGTTCCTCTCTTCTCTCATGAGGGAGAATGATGTCATCTCTTCCCAAGTACAAAAGTAGTATTTGGCCAGTAAGTCCTGGCAGTTAGCCACTCACAGTTGGAAAAATGCTGAAGGAGATGACTTTATCAGACATATTTAAAATGTTTATGATCCTTATCTAAACACTCTGATCTTGGTTGAGAGAAACTTTTCCAGAACCACCAAGATCCAGAATGAGGATGCAAATAAAAACACTTAATCCTGAAGGAGGCACCTACCATCTTCTGATGTGTTCCATAGCTAGTGTATGACTGGATAGCACATGTCATAGAGCTCTTGCTCAGTCATTTACAAGGGCTCTGTCAGAATATCCAACAACTCTTAGGATTTTTTTCAGCTAGGAACAGTCTCTCAGTCTACAAGGAGAGACTGAGCAACACAGCCACACACAGTTCATTAAAAGCCTCAAAATTGTATAGTGTTGTCTTTGATGCTAAGATAAATGCTGGTCCACCAGCTGTGAGGACAGGTCTTTGGGAGGGTGAAGCAGAATGATGATGTGGCTGCAGTTCTGTGCTCCACTTTTCTTAGTCCTCCACTGTCTGAAGTCCATCCAGGTAAGTTTCCAGAAAGAGAGAGACGGTCTCCTGAATGGAGACAATTGGCTCCTCACGGTTTGGAAAAGTGGGCCTCAAGTTGTTCCAGAAGGCCATGACAGCTTCCCATAACTCTATAGATGACTGGGGATGGGGGAGAGGGGAGACAGATGTGGGGCTAGAGAGATGTGGTAAACTTAGAATGCTTAAGGCTGCTTTGCTGATTTTTTTCAGATTTAAAATGACTGGGAAGAGAATTTGCTAGTGTTAGTCTTAGAGTCCAGTAGGTTGGGCACTGCAAGACTTAATTTCCACAGTAACTGAGAGTTTCTTAAGGCTCCCCCCACCTTTTTTTTTTCTTATTTACCATTATACAAGGCACAGGGAGGTACATGTGGCTAGCTTGAGAATCCAGTGTCACATAAGAAGCACTGGTTAGCCCTCAGTGGGCTCAACACATACTCTTGTATGCTCTTTCCTATCAAACTAGGATTAAATATTTTTAACCATCTTTACACCATCGGTACTATGCTGTTTTAGGAAAAGAGGAAGATTTACAAAAATGGTGGGGAAAAATGACTCCAAACAATGCTGATATTTTAATAACTTTCTAAATCTCAAAAAAAATCAACTCCCTCTTGGATTTCTCCTTAAGTTTTATTAAAATTAACAGGTTTTGCTAAATAAGCTGTTATTCTGCCATCATCTATCATTAGTCTTGCTTATGTGGATAAAGGCCACAATGCAAATCACACTGGTGTCAATAGGAGTCTTAAAACTCACCTCATTAGTCTTTGGATGAAGACCAAACCTCAACTGTTTTAATGAGAGGTAGTAACTATGTTTTGTGTTATGTAAAGATTAAGAAACATTGTAGATACTATTTATACAAGCAAAGGCTAAGTAAGGGGTTCCTGTTGAAGGGAAAGCTAAGAAAGGGGAATGATTTAAAGTTTTGTTTTCTATGGCTGCCATATTTAAGTGTTGTCTTATATTGATCAGATATGTTTCATGGAACATTAGAGGTCAAGTGACTAATGAGCACATGATCTGGGAGGAGTTTTTGAGTTCTAAAAAATAAAATAACATATATATTTGGTATGTCCCTATTTTATTTCTGTGATTTACAAATGGCTCCTTTATTAGAGAAAACATTTCCAGCTTTTACATGCTACTTCCTCTTCATATAAAATTATGTATGCTTAGCTGCACATTGAATATCAAACTTCTAGTTATTCTGCCAAAGAATCTGGTATGAAAATCCCTAGACACAAATTTGGAATCTAGTCAGCAATAAGAATTAACACCCCAGTTATTTCCACAGCCTAAACAGCTGTGTTGCTTATAGAACTTGAAAGGTATGTCATTACAATGTTGAATGAATCCTAGAAAGCTTCCTCAAAATATAATAAATAAATGCAAGAGAGAATATTTCTAAGTGTGTGCATTTATCCAGGTGCTAACATAAAAGCATTTCTTCGGTGTCATGTCTTCACTATTACCAAGTTCAGCAATAGTGAGAACTCAGACAGAGCTGTATGGAAAATACAAACAGTACAATTTAGGATGGTATTATGTGAAAAGTCAACAGTGAACTCCTTGGGACAGGGACTATTTTGTTCTGTTTGTACATCACCTGGCACACAGAGGTCTTGGTCCATAACTGGGACTCCAAGGTCATACAGGGGGAGGAGGTAGGGGCAAGAGGCAATCACGCAACACTAGGTTTCCCTAGAAGCCCTATATTTGAAAGTTAATTATCAATTACTCGGTTAGCAATAATTGTTTGAAGACTGCAATTCCAGACTTGACTTAATGCACATCTTGGAATCCATAAGAAAACTTTACTGTAAGGGTTTGAAAGATTCTGAAGGAACCCATATAGTGTACAAGTTACAAGCAGTTATGTCATGCAAGTATAAGGGAAGAGAATTATGTTTTGTAAGCAAAAATCCATGGAAGTTTCAGCTGCGTCTAACATGTGTTAATAGAAACATTTAAGTGAGCTTGACAGACACTGGAGTTTCATTCAAACTGCTTTTTACAGACAATTGCATTCTGGGGACTGAAGAAAACTTACCTATCACTGAATTCTGCTCTCTGTCACAGATGACTAGGCCACTAGTACAGACTTCTCTTTAACAATACTTCCTGTCTTCACTCAACAGACCCAGAACATCAGAACAATTGCAGATGCTGTTTTGAATCCCTCCTCCGTGTCACTGAAATTGCTCTGACCAAAGCATTGAAACCAAATTTTTATTTCCAGCCAACAGTCCTTTCCTACCTCTTTTGACCTCTCTGCTGCTTTTATACTGTT